AAATGCATTGTACGCTTGTGCTCACTGCATACGAACGCGAGATCTAAGTGTGAACAGGAGGTTCGACCGAGAGTCTGGATTCTCTCCGTTCCGATGCTCTTCGACCTCAGGTGCAGCGCAAGGCTCGCTTCAATGTTCATTCCTACCAGTATCTAAGATAATCAGGTATTTCTTGTTTTTATCTAATGCTACGTATATAAATAGCGTGGGTTGACTTCAGCTAATGTGCACAATTAGATTTTTCGCGAAAAACAACTTGCAGGGTGGGTATTGACATGACATTGCATTGCTTACGAGGTTGCTGAAACTCTTCTAAAGTCCATTCCCGGCTTAGCTCCTCTTGAATCTCATCAAATGATTGTAGTTATCAGATTCCATCATGCTTATGATCTACTTCCTTGTCGAAATGGCCATGCTCACGACGCAACCAGATGGGACATGGATAAAGAGGGAAAAACGTATTGGGAATGATATGAAAGCTGAGACAACTGCACTATCAGCTTAACGTTTTCGGTTGACAGAGATACGAAACCCTATCCAGTTCATGGTTTCATAGGCTGCTGACCTTGGGGATGCCGTTCACTGTGGCTTACTGAACGTTCAGTGCATATTTGTCTCATGGCCTGTAATCCATTAAATTCATTCAGTGAGCATTTGCAGAGCCCGGGATAAGCATCAGGTGCAAATGAATACTCCCGATACCCTCAAAGCTGCAGAACGATTGTCATGAAAATGGGCAGACTAAATAAGACAAACCTGCCTACACCAAACTTAACCTTCAGATCACGCCGTATATGTTTGTCCGATGATACGACTACCATTAAAATGACTAGGACAGTGCAAAACAGTGGTTTGTTGAACAGCTGTTAAAACATGAGAATATCAGCATCTGATGCACAACAAGCCAAACAAGCAACAATTTACGCTCTACTCCTTCATCACCACACTGCCTAAATCTTGGGAAGTGACATTCGGCTAGTTGCTTGTTTTATAGATTTCCCTGTGGGATAATCCACCTGTTCGTTATAGTGTCAATGGGTCTATTCTGCTATCATGAAATGGCTATGGGTTTTTTTGTGCGTTTCAGCGAGCGGATGCTTTGGACCAGTTTAGAGCTCAGATACGCAGTGTGCGGGAACAAGAGTACAGGGGAACACAGTTCAAGTTATATTGATAAAAATGTGGAAATTACGGATGGTCATCCTCGCTGCGTGTTGCGATCTACTGTGTCGAATCTCGAGAATAGATATCAAGCAGAGTGAAACTCGCATTCCAATACGAGAAAATGATCGAATTAATACAAGCAAGTCTAGAAACAAGTATGAATTGATTCCAAAATCGAATAAATCAGGTATAAAATGGTATTTCTGCATTTCTATTCCTTCCTCCTCTCCACCGAATATTGAAATTCCTTTTGGGGAGCCTTCTCATGTTTTATAATCACTGTACTACTACATATTAGTTACATAATTACGCCTTTCAGAATAAAACATTCCAGCGTCGTAAAAGGATGAGGTATTAGTTACATAATTACGCCTTTCAGAATAAAACATTCCAGCGTCGTAAAATGGATGAGGTACAGTATACGGGCCTTTATTTGCTCGAACTGTAAGGAGGAAGCGCCTTCGTCACAAAGATGATTTGGCTTTCCCTGAATTTCTTCCCGCCCATGAATGAGTACTATCACTAAACTTCTGGTTACAAGTTCAAATGCATCCCGATGGTCAAACCTCCTCATTGACGATCAAAGGGACAATAACTAATTACTGGCGTAGACGGCGTTGACAACAGATGTAAATTCCAGCATTGCTGAACATCAAACTATACGTACCCTGGCAGATTTTTCTGACTGTGCCACAGGTTTCTCTGAGAACTTTCGCAACTTCCGATGCTGATTTGAGTGTTTCTTTGTTTGTCAAAATTCATTGATGCATACGATAGTGGTGAACCGCTTAGACAATTTGTGGCAGGCAACTGTCGCTTCATCCAGCTTGAAATGGCTGAGAGCTGCTGGAAATTTTCCACTTTTATTTTCTTACTCATGAGTAGTGTATGGGAATATACATAAGATCCGAAAGCGAAACCACGGAAATCGGTTTGTCAGTGGCCTTGAAACGCTCAACCCATGTGACCGACTTAGTGTTTAAAGACGAATAGTACTACGTTAAATGAATGGTCCATGTGGCAGTGTGAATTCGAGTCATCCATTGGTATGCATGTCACTTTGCAAGGAATGACTCTCGGGTTGGGACGTTTCGGCTTACCCCGGTCACTTTCCTTATGATCCCTGTCGAACATATTGAATATATTGAACTATTCACCAAGGTGGCTTTGTTACGGAATAAAACATTTCGAACAAATTTCGCTGTTGTGATTCATTCTCCTAGATATATTATTCGACGTTTACTTCAACTGAAGCCAGACATACGACTTTATCAACCATATGAGCAGTGACCATGAAATTAAATTCATCTCAAGTGGAGATCGAATTCGCAAGCCCGTGGAAGTATCACGTAACATGCTGCACAGATACGAAATGCTTTTGTGGAGAAAACAAGTTATGTATGGTAGTGAACCCCGAGCTAGCGTTTGGGTCTTCTCTTATTGTCAGTGAACATCGGTTTCGTACAAGTCAACAAGTTTTCAACGAAGTCTCCATCTACTTTGGCTAGTCTTCAGTTATGTCCGCTTTTCGTCTGTTCACTGTATAAAAACTGAAGCTATCTTCCTTCAGATCCCGATAGGATTTTATATCTGATTGCGACCCAGCCATATCAGCAAACGAACTTTTGTTATAATAATCATGCTTTTGTGAGGAAGATATACACAGATCCGCTGCAATTGTGGAAAGTAATTTCCTCATTTTGCTGCTAGGGGTAACACGAATGAGGCAGTTACTCAATAACTCTACTTAAAAGTCTGACATCCGCTTTCCACTCAGCGTTTTCAAACGACTTCCAAGCCACCACAGAGCCCCGTGGTGAATTTGACCGCTGATAACTATTTCTCTCTTAGTGCACTCATTCCAGCTGCAAGCTAAATCGTGCACTCTGAACTGCGTAGAGTAAATTTCTTCTCACCACTAAATATAGCACCAGGAAGGTGCATACGACTTCTAAGTGCGCATCAATGACGAATAACCCGCGCGGATTGAGGACCCCCTTGTCTGGGGTTGCTGACCAATTCTGACATCTTTTGGAATGCGTTGTTTGATGAAAGCCATCCTGGGAACTGGGCTAGGTTACTCTCGGGCGGGGGCCTTCTCAATCACAGTGCCATGTAAATGTCACCAACGGGATCATACGTGACGGATCCAAAACCCAAGAAAGCACACAGTGAAATGTTGGACAGAACAATCCCATTCAAATATCCATTTTCGTGCAGTCTACACGAAATAAAACGGACTGATACGCATAGGAATGAAGTAAAACCACCAAACTGTATTTTAAAGGTTCTTTAAAACAGAATGGTCCATTTATTCCGGGAGAAAAACACAAAACAGCATTATAGACACAAAAGTACACACGTGGTAACGATCCCTAAAGTTATGGTCTCTATATCCGCTTGCGAAATAGGGTAAGCTTCTACAAACCCGAAAAGTGACACTGTAGGCCTTGAAACTATACACATGTTTGCCGGTTGCTCCACATCCTGAATTATTACCTCATTGAACGGTCCAACTAAAGCCGTCCATCTTGAAGTTGTCGCTGTGAACATCTCGCAATTACGCTTGAGAAATTTTGCGGGTGGTCCTGGCACGTTGAATACTCAGTTAGCAGACTTCCTTTGAATACTGAACAAGAGTCTTAATTTTCAGCCAATATGTGTACATGCAAAAAATGACCTTACTTGGAGTGAATGATCCATCAACGACTAAAGCTGAGACAAGCGGTCTTCCACAACTGAATACTTTCCACTTTACTGGGCATTACGGTTTTTCCACTTTTGTTCCCTCCATTCTATGGTGCATAAGTACTGATTTGATTACTTGAATGTCTGATTATCTGGCTGCTCAGCGATTCTCCAGACCGGGCACATAATCACCTGACTCGAGCAGTTCTACGAGCATCAGATAAACGCAAAACAGTCATGAAGTGGCGTCTCTTAAGGGTTTTGCTGAGTGACTGTTAAAGCGATTATTGGATTGATGGCAGTAAACTCCTCAGAATTCTAACACAACACAACGAGAAAGTTGTATAGATCTGGTATTTTTCAAAAGGGAGGCTATTGAGAATGGCTTCAAAAATTTAGTTTGCTCAATAAATCACTATACGTAAATTCTCACGTTGATTACTAGCACTTTCGTAGACCGAAGTTCGTATAATTACTTCAGATTGAATTACATGATACGTTGCTACAAGCACGTTATCTTTACAGAGGAGTCATCCGGCCTGACATTTTCCGTGCGCGCCCACAGAACATGCTATCAACACCATCAAAGTTAGCCGAAACCTGAGGTAAACCTCAGGACTCCTGCTCACGGAAAACTTTAATCGACCATGTTTCCTGGTCGATTTTAAAACTTCAGAAGGCAGAGCAGTCCGGGGTAGATGAAGCCAACCGGCACCGATACAACATACCCTTGCCTGCACATGTGATGAGCGAGTGTACTGTCCCTAGATGCTTGCCGGGCGCCTCAGGGCTGGATGTTTTACACAAATTTCATCAGTCCAAATGGAGAGTGTCTGGACCTAGATTTATACGATACTGATGCCGATGGTGTTGTGGGGTTAAATTCGTATTCTTCCTATTGTTTCCAATACTACTTGGTTGCGCTTCGCACGGTCTAATCGAACGAAAAATGACAGAATAACGAATCAAGGGCGTGTATGGAAGATCAGCCGACAAGAGGTTGAATGTGGCCTGTCAAGCCGCTTATCGGTTGGCCACTTGTAATGAGCGTCAGATGGTTAACGGTCGTTTAATGTAAACAGTTAATGGTTGTAACATAAACAAGTACACTGACCATGAGTTTTTCGTATTTAACACTCCAGCTTCGTCGAGCTGACGACTGTATTGGCGTGGTGCACAAAAACAGAGCAAAAATATCTGCCGCACGGTACGACTTGTACTCTTCCTTTGCCAAAAATATGTTTCACTACACACCTCAATTGAAGTTGGCAATAGCATTGTCAGTGTTCATATCGCTTTTCGGGTTCACCTTAGCTGATTACCCACATGAGTTCACCGCCCAGGTTCAATCTTATCCGAACATTATGCGGGAAAGTGCGCAGTGCTTGCCACTTAAAGGACTGTACGACCACGATCAGACCTTTGTCTGCGATCCGGATCGTCTTTTAACCGTGGATCAAAGTAAGTATCAGAAAACCGCTGACAGATGATTAATTTTTTCTGAAATCCTATTGAAACTTAACAGTTTCCCCTGAATTTTGGAAGGTATAAATACCAGTATGATGGTTTCTGTCAATCGACGCATTTGACAAGTTCAAGTGTTTATCGGTCCAACCTGGAAAGTTAGAATAGCCATTTGCATATCTACTCGAGCCTCCTTGGTAAAATTCAACAAACTTAGGTCTAATTTTGCTTTATACATCGTCACAAAGGGAGCTAGATTCATCAAGGTTGTTGGCAGTTGGGTACAAAGCCAGGAGTTTACGCCTATTTCCTGGATCTTGCAGTCACCGCTGTTCCTTTTTCACTCAGACTTGCGGTATACAGGGGTATAGCTAATTATGTCTATTCATTCGATCGAAGTCCAAATAGTGCTTAAAAGTCTGTTTGATTTTGGTTTTCAACAGAGATCACGAATAGATTTCAGTTACATTTGGAATATGCTTCCTCAAACGAAACAGTAGGTTTTCAGAGGATTGCAGGTTGAATGCATATGCTGTGGAGCAAATACACATTTCAGATTTTTTCCCATCTGTTACAGTAGAGATCAGGTCGCAAAAATAAAAGAACGTGAAGCGCGCGGAATAAAAATGATAATCAAATAAATAATTCGATACCGTTTCACCTAGCTAGCTGAGTTAATCTGCTGGTAGTAGGCGATGTTTCGGTATAGACCAATCCATACATCTTAAATTCTCTTTCTCATTCAGACAATGGTCTTTGAATCCATTCACTTATGAGGCTGTTCTCAAAGACGGGAAAGCAGTGAAGAGGAACAAATCGGTGTTTTAGAACACCATCGAGACCACACTGTGAACTACATGAGCAAGCGTTTTGACCAATTAAAGTTTCAGATTGAAAAAAACATCACCATCATCATCAACCCTAGCATGACATCGGTGTTTACCACCGGTGCTTCGCTGCTGTACGGAGGTGGTGAATTTTCCAATTGTCAACTGACGCAACCAGTCACTCTCAAAACGTTCGGTTTTTATGTTGCCGACTGAAATCAGTACTGTGTAAGGCATACAATGATTTTTGAGCTCCGACTCAGATGAATCGAAGAGTCGCGGCCAACATAGTCGACGGGCTCCGTTTGCTTCAGGGTGATCCAAGCGTTGATCCGAACCAGACAGTTAGCAATCAAGTTTGGATGGTCAGACTTAACTTAATCGCACTTCAACTGTGGCGTTTTACTCATCTAAACCAACCATAACAAGCAAACGTTTGTTGCATTGGTTCTCTAAGAACTCTTGATCGTCAATCCAAGGAAGATCGAACTAGTCGTTTCAAACCTATCCAGCTCCATAAAGGCCAAACATGCACTACCATGGACACAACAAATTACGGTACCAACCAAAAAATCGTTTTTATCACAAACCTACTAGGCAGATGTAAACAAACAAACAGTGCGTGTGAAAAAGTAATAGGGGAAAAGTCTACCAACGTGAAGTGGACTTAGATTGTCCGTTCATCGGCAACACTGCCTCTGTGAAGTAATTCTTCGCAATGGCTCCAAAGGCGTTACGACTGTGTGGGGAAAGACAAGCTACTTCACAGTCGATCCAAAGCTTGATTTCTCTGAACAGGCACCGCTAATCTTAAATAAACAGGTTATTCGATCACAGAGTACTGAAAAGGGTGAAGCACATTATCGAGCATCAGCAAGCGATATTGTCTTACGCACTTTCTATCTACGCGTCCGTACATTCTCAATTCACAAACAAAAATGAAGAACCAGTTGTCTCGGAGTTATCTGGCGTGGCTGGCCGTCATGATGGAGCGTATTGAGCAACTAATTACTTCTACTTATTTTTTATGGCTGTGAAATGTAAGTTTAGGTTTAAAGGTTCTTGCTCTGTCTTTGTTTCTCACCCATATGTACAGATTATCAAAACGGCGACCTGCATCTTAGAAAATAGTTGTCCTTAGTGATTCTGATGGATGAATCTGCGATTCAGTCCACAATTTCACTACTCCGATGCGATTGTGTGCCTTCTTTAGATAAGCTGAGACTCGTACTGAAATGGATGTATTTCAGGGAATAATTCACAAAGTTAGTTGGCCTCGACGAAAGCCCTTATGAAGAGACAATTGGAAGCCTGGTCTAAAATCACTCCCTACAAATCGTCCATACTACGGGATGATTCCGTCATCCGAATTTTCCAGACGTGACTAAAGTGATCCGTACATCACACAACCAAGCTGTGTGCTGGCCAGGTAAATGCAACAGTGCCCCGAAGGATTTTCAACGGACCTGAAGAAGGTATCAGCATTAGATCTCTGCATATCAATGAAGCGACGAGAACTAACGAGTTACACTCACCACAACAATGTTAACGCCTACGTTTCAAACGTGTCTGACTTAGTAAACATCAATCAGACGCATAGCAAAATAGCTGCCGGTCGTGTCACGCAGTGAAACCTATGTATCCACCTATCCCGTGGACCTATGGGTGCTGAACACACAATGGTTTGTACACAGTGGATTCACACTTGATTCTCGTTGTCATCGGCATACTGTTGATGCTCAGTACATGATACGACGATAACAGTATTGTGGAGGCATTTGTGACGTTTCAGCATTCCTTCGAATGTTTACTGAGACGTCACGCTGAAAAACCCAACATAGATTAACTAGATCGGTATGCCATTGGTGAATATGAACCCGACAAAGGCCAGACGGAATATACTGTTGATAAAAATGAGGGCACCTGCAGCATTCAGATAAATTCAGTGCACAATCTTGTTTGTTTTCTCTGACAAATCGCCTTAGAGGGTGACAGTTTAAACAATTCGGTCCATATATAAATGCCCTACCAATAGCGGATAAGCTGTGGCTAGATAGTCGACAGTACAATAAACAAAATTATGATCAAGAACATCATATCAAACCGGGAGAAAATTTGTTGAGTCCAAAAAGTGCTGTCCAGGCAAAAATCAGTGTATATGCAGTGACATCGAATATCTGCAGATTCACTCGAGTCAATGCGAAAAGTTCCACCATTTGTTAAAAGCACTGCATAAACCTTCAGTTGCATCGGTGTTGCCTCGATGCGGAAAGTGTCAGAGACTGATCACAAAATTCTTCCCTGGATGAAACATGTCCCCTCCTCGCAAATGACCAAAACTGCAGATTAGCCTTGAATCCCGTCAGCCCTAGCTGGACACCTGCTTTGCTTCAATCACGCCACCTGCATGGAAAAGGCTTCACTCTGTGTTTGTTCCAGAGTAATGTGAAAGTTTTCGCGGGACGGCTGATCTCATACACGAATACCTGAAATAAAAAATAGGTTACTTGGTAGAAATGAAAATTTCCTCAAGTAAAACTATATATGCAAACAAATTGCCCAGCTGGGCGAACAAACCAACGACCTTAAAACTATATGTTTGGTGGAATACTACATGTCACGTTGGTGTTCCACTTAAAAAGAGATATAGGCATTAGGTCATCATCGCTGGCTGTCAACAAGACCTTTTGGCTGTTGAGCTGAGTGTGCTATCCGGAACCACTATTCTTATTGCTCAAAATCTGAAAGACAGACACCCAATTAAATCCATCTCTCCTATTCAACAATTCTTTTTGTACGTCTAAAGTATTTGTTGTTGATCAGATGGCTGTTGATCTGTTCGCCGAGCTTGGCACTTGGCTTGCAAACGTTTCGTCACCATACGAGGAGACATCATCAGTGCGCAGTTGAGTGACCCACCCATCCATGCCATCTGATCAACAACCAATAAACTCACTCGAGCTACCAATATTTCACCACATTACCAGCGTCTAAAGTATGTTATTGAGAAAATACACCGAGTAGTTTGTCCAACCCCTTCTGGTGCATGATTAGACTTCCGTACTCAAAATAATCGTGGGAACAATGGATAATTTACTGAATTTGATTCTGATTTGAGATGGCCAACGGGGAGAAGGCTTGAACGCCTTTTAGCTATTTCAGTACACGTGAAAATTTCACCCTAAAAGACTCCACGAGCGAATTTATCAGCACCCAATTTGATTGCAATGGGAGTTTTAAAACCTGAGCTCTGGCACAATTCCACCCCTTCTATTGCTTGTCAAGTTTTCTACTAGGCGGTGCACGGGTTAATCTTTTGTCACACCTTTGTGGTCTCAATCAGCCAGTGTTTTTTGGAGCTCGTTACGACTTGCTAGAATGCTTATTTTCCGTTGTCTTGCCAGCTGCGACTTAGTCCTTATTGCAAGCCTAAATGTGCTCTAGACTGTTCTTCCCATGGACTTGCCCAGCACGGTTAACGAATCCATCCTTAAACCAGTTATTTGGAATCTCCATAAATTCACTATAACTTTTGTACTCACTGCGAATACCAAATATTTTCATTTAGAGTGAATGAAGCCATCCCGCAGTCGACTTGCTTCAAACAATAGGAAGCATATAAACATATTGTTGAAGCAGAATTTTTGGTTCCTGGGGCTTGTTTATATCTGACTTTCTGAAATGAACTGTTTCAACACTGTTATCAAATCGAAGCTCCTCCTTTATGTCAAATTGGCCCGCGTGAAACACACGAATTAAAGCACTGATGCCCTTTAGAGACTTGTGCCATTAGCATGCTTTTATCCCTTCGTTTATCAGGGACACATCGGTGGCATCGAAATATGGTCCAATTATTAGGGAATTTATTTTAAGAAATCGTTCAGCTGTAACAATCTTTCGGTGCCTAGCTGCCTTGTCATCAGAAGGAAGTACGAGGGTTAGGATACTCAACAATCTTTCGGGCCTAAACAGGGGAAGTCGAGAGGCAGAAGTCGGGTTCGAACCACGGACCTTTTGGTCAGTAAGTTCGCATTCTAACCACTTGAGCCACTTGATTGGGGTTAGTCCGGTCGTCACTACCTTGGAGCCCAAGACCGGTTGATCAACAGATACTCAGCGTTTGCTTTGGTTGCATCTTCAGCTTGGGCTTCACACATAAGGTACTTCTCT